AGACCAATTGATGCTCATTCTGCTTCTTCATTCAGCCTGTGGCACCATGTTGTTTTAGTCGAGCATATGATGAAAATACATCCTCACCTTCATTGGAAAAGTAAGCACCTGATGGTCCCCCAGAAAGGGTCTCCGGGACCCCAGGGTCCTCATATCACACTTTGACAACTTCTGTTATACGATATCTAGGAACTAATCAAACACACGCAATACCTCCAGATTCAGAAATGTTAACCATTAGTAAAAATGTCGATGGCTATCTGAATACACGAAGGACAATCCACTCTCTCAGGTGGGTGAGCGAATATGGTAATGATTACATCGTCAGTATACCTGCATGTTCAGCTACAGTGAATCAAACGTGCATTTGATAAAAGTTTCCTTAAGTTCCTTCTGGAAAATAAAGTCAGTGCAAAACCATACCAGTCTTCCAAAAAAATGGGTTAACCAGGAGAGAAATGCCCTGGCAGGTGTGGAGACCCATGATAGACCTCAGACACATCGTTGTCATTTTCAAGTTTGACCCTGGAGCAGCCACAGACACCGATCAAGTTGGCTACATACCTCAGAAAGTACCCCAGCGTGATTCAAAACTTGGTACAGGTGGGAGCACAAATGCAAGAGAAAAGATGGATGGTTTAGGAGTCCGTGGTGGGAAGACTGGTCCTTTTATGAAGCAAAGCAAATCTGAATTTCTGCCTAAGGCCTTACACACGGGTGGAATCCAGGTGGATTCAATACTTAAATATGAAACACAATGCCCTGAAGGTAATAGGAGAAGGTGTCGGAAAATACTTCTGTTGATGTAGGAGTGGAGAAGGACTTCTTAAACAAACTTCAGAAGCACAAACATGAGGTGGTTTTGAAAGACATGAAAACATCAGCACGATGGGTTTCTATTCAACAAAATATCCTGGATGCAGTCAATGGGAGATGGAAAGGTGAGAAAAATCATTTTCATTGTACAAAAAAGGACTGGGGAATATGGTCTAGAATTAACAAGAGACCGGTTACGTGTACAAGAAGCAGAAAGCTTGATACAGAAATGAGCAAGGGATAAAACAGAATTTAGCAAAGGTATGAAGAGATAGCTCACAGAGGGTGTAGTAAGAGCCAATAAAAACAGGCTAATAAAAAAGAGAGAGAGGGACAGAGAGACAAAGGAAGGGAAATACAATGGAAATTCAGTGTATATCTATTCAGTGCCCCAAGTTAGAAAATCCCTGGTGTTGATCAGTTTTGGGGAGAATGCAACACTCGTGCACGGCCTGTGAGAGCGCAGAATAGTGGAAATGAGGAGTGCACATGCTCTGTGCCCCAGCACATGTGCTCCTGAACATCTATCGCGATTGCTCAAAGGCATTTACAGGGGAGCATGTCCGAGGGGGTTTCTGTAGCATTGCTTTTAGTGGGGAACTGGAAAGCCTGCTTGTCCATTCTTTGGAAGGGGGCAGGACCCGTGGGCTGGATGCAAACCCTGCAGCCCCAGCCAGGAGTTCGGTGCACACACAGCAGCATAAATGAACCCGTAAAATGTGTTGAATGAATGAAGCAAAAAGCAGACAAACGCTCCAGCATAATAACATTTCGGCATATTAAAAATAGAGCAGCTGACACTATTCTGTAGGATGCTGTAAGGGTGGATACATGTCATTATACATCAGAACGTGCAACACAGACAGTGAACCCTAATGTATCCTCCACCTATACCCCTCACTGCTCCGGGCTACTCTTCTGTTCCCACTCCACTCTGACTTCCAGAGACAATTGTCTGAAATATACCCAAGGTGTGCAGACATCAGAGCCAGGGTTCAAGCCCCGGTTTTTGCTGTGTGTATCTGAGAAAGAACTTTCCAGTTCAGAGCCTCCTCTCCCCAGCTGAAATATGGGAGTAAGCAGAGAACTATCTTTAGAAGAACCATGAAGATTCACTGAAAGGGCTCTATGTTTACCTAATATGGGTGGTTATCCCTGACGCTGATGTCTTCTCTGTTCTCCAAACTGCTTTCCTGTCATCAGTCTGTACCAGATGAACCAGTTGGTCCCATTCCAAACTCATAGTTTCTGACCTCAGTGGGGTCTTTAGGACCTCTGGTAAATTGACAACACAGTTTGACAAGTGGCTGGTCCAACCTTTGCCTCCTCGCCTGGCCGCTGCCTCACCCTATAGTCTGCCTTCCCACCTGCCACTTGGTGGAGTGGCTGCAGTTCGCCGGGCTGGGCTCCCCCATCTCCTCCGACGGGTGCAGGAGAGGGTTCGTCTACTTTGGTCTCACAGAGGTTGGCTCACCCACAGGTGCTGAGCTCATGTCACACACCTGCATCCAGGAGTGAATCCAGCTCAACCTCTCTGCCTCCCCTCAAGGATCACCTCCAGGTTAGCAAAGGCCACCTTCAGCCAACCCAGGATACAACGGCCAAGGCAAGACACATACCTGACGCAAGGTTTCTGAACCTCAGTA